ATGCGTCTTCCAAGATTCAGAGGTACCAATAATCTAATTCTCTATGGATTATTCTTTTAGCAGTTCAGTCGAAAAAGTTCTCTTATGTATGTCAAACAGGGTGAGCGTATCCATGCAACCATCCGCAAGGAACATGCATATATAACAACAGTGTTTCAAAGAGGGCGATTTTATATTCTTAGAAGATTACACATTTTATAGCATTATGCTGGTATGTTTTTATCATTAGTGTGCTTTCCTATTTAAAGTTGTTTGAAGTGAACTATTGCTTTCTGTGTTCCTAGATTAAGCACTTTAAATATCTCTAGGTGAGATTGTGTGGTATTAGTATTTCGTCAAATACATTTAGGTACCCAGAATGCTAAAGTCTGGTAGTGTATTTACAAGTGGTCATGGTAATATATTTCATAGTGGTTATGTTAAAGTGACATTTTAAATTATGTGTTTATCAAGACAATAATAGTTTTAGTAGTCAGTTTGTCAAATTCATTTGCAATTAGTTTGACACAAATATTTTACCAAAATGACTTTGTAATTTAACAAACAAAAAACTATCCCATGTTTAAAACAATTTAATTGTTTATTTTAACACCTTATATGTCATCACGATCAAGTGAAATGAGGAGAGTTTGGTAGGAGAAATTTATAGGAAAGAAATATAATTGAGAAAAGGAAAAAAACATACACGTCCCTGCCTCCTATAGTAGAGTTTTTTGGTTTTGTTCTTGGTTGCAACTTGCAAGGAATTCTATTTCTAGCCTGTTTCTACTTATTACATTACAAACTTTACAAATGTGGGCATTAAAAAAAAGACCCATATACTTATTACGGAGTATTACATAATGAAATCGTAATCGAAGTACAAGAAAAACTAAATCTGCACCTAACAAAGTAAAATAATATTTAGAAATCTTCATACCATATGGGATTAGTGAATAAATGTTGATAAGCAATAGTGATGGAATGCCCAGCAGTTCAACCATCAATGAAGTGTATCTAGAGGCTTTCCAAAATGTGTGATTGGAAAACTCTATTGTGCTTTGTTTTTAAAGGCAATGACTATATATGTGTATGTTATTTAGATTGTGTGTGTATTTCTCTTTCATTGAGATAACAAAAACTTGCTAAATATGTACTTCGTATATATTATTGTCCCGTGCATCGCACGGGTACAATACTAGTATGATAAATAGTATCAAATGAATGCTAACTTGAATGAGTGAAGATTGATCTCACCACACACTTCATGTCAAAGACTTGAAACTACTTAGTATAGGCTTCGAAGCATCTCCCCGTAAGTTTGTTGTGTTGGCACAGTTTTTTTTTTTTTCATGCATGTGACAGGGTGTACCACGGGGTTTTTCACATAAACAAATGGCACCAAACTGAATCGAAACTAGAACATCTATTTATGCACTGTACTGTTGGGGGTTAACAATGTTAAATCTAAAAGCTCATTTAAAAACTCATTTTAACAAAAACCTAAATGTACTTAACCTAAAGGGGTATATTGTATAAAGAATTAATATCAAATTGTTAACAATTCGAAGGTGTTCAGTACACTAAAAACTTTCGGAACTTTATTTACGTTTAGGCTATGGGGTGTAAAATAATTACTTTGCATGCGAAGTGTAAGAACGTTAAATGTTTACACTATTTGACTTCATTATTTAATATAAACTTTAGGACACTTTTTAAAAACATTTCACATTGTACCATGTAAGGTATTTTACGTGGAGGGAGGGTGGTAAAATACTTTGAATGTTTTTTATATATAAAGCACTGCAGCACCTTTGCGTGCAAAATAAAAATAAATTAAATATCTAACCAAACAATGTAATCTATTTTACATGCAAACTGATCGCTTCCCTAAACTTTGCATGCAATCATTTTGAGTGTAAATATTTTACGTGTAAACTCACAAAGAGCCCTATGTTTGAAAAAAATAACTTGAAGTTGGACTTCATTGTTTATTTTGAGATTATTGTATGGAGATAGATAAAGTTGCCAAAATTGAAATTCTAACTAAATGAGGTAGTTTTGTTTTATTCACAGTTGAAATAAGGACTAAAAATGTAAATTTTTCATAAAAATATATATTTAAATATAAATAAGATAAAATTTGAATAGTAGGAGGTTAAAACGATATAAGCTTGCTGTAAATTAAAAGTCTGAACTGAAATGTTGCGATAATTAATAGTAACATTTCAAATTAGCTGATTAATTTTAAATACAATTCAAACAAATTTAGCCCTTCATCCAAATAAAGCTACATGTCAATTAATAATAAAAATTTATCAATGTTAAGCTCAATTTTGAATTGAAATGGTAATCCAAATGTAGCCTCAATTTTATGTGTCTTTTATTACTACTAGATTTTACTAGAATCCTAATAAATATGTGAGTATAGTAAATGGAGGAAATTAATTAAAAGGTTGAAAGTAGGTGTACATGCATGTGTGTACACATATTTTCTATGTTTGAATAATGTTTTATCGGTTTTCTTTCCTGAAATCACTTTTGTGTGAATTGAATGGTTAAATAACAAATTAAAGGTTTGTCTGGAAAATGACTAGTTAGTCTAGAAAAGCTGGAATTAAAAAAAAAACAAAAAACAAATAGTAGCATAATTTTGTATTGGCTACTAGCTAGTAGGTATTCAAAGTTATCCTTTTCGTCACTACTACATTTTCGGGTCTAATGTAACAATCAATTTCGTTACGATTGGTTCAAATAACTGTTACATTCTACTAAATGTAACAGTTTTGGACCGTTACATTCGCTGGCGTTGCCTTTTCCCAAATGTAACACTATGTAACAATTTCTAAAACTAATTGTAACACTCTTCCCAACCAAATGAAAGTGTTACAATTGTACCATAGTACAATTGTAACAGTCTTTAAAGTGTAACACCTATGAAAAATTATATAACAAATGTCATATTCATTCTCTAACGTAACAGTTTATAACATATATTTATATATGCATACACGCACCCAGTTATTTATTAAACTTGAGGATAAACAAACAAAATATATAGAGCAATCATCAAATGACCCTTATCATGTTTTTATTCAAATAAAACAAGAGCATGATACAAAATTAGGGGACATATACCTTACCCCTAAAAAATACTCCGTATAAGCACTAGTTCTGGTCTAATGAGTGCGGGTTACCCCAGAAGTCTAAGATTAAAATACCTCTAACATTTTAGGGTAAGCTAACATTATTAAAATGAACAATGAAGTTACTGCTATCTAGGGTTGGGTCCGAAAAACCGAAAACCGAAAACCGAATCAAATTAAATCGAACCGCAACCAAATAAAACCGAACCGCTAAGAAACCGAAACCGAATGTAAAAAACCGAACCGAACCGAAGTTGTTTGGTTCGGTTTTGGTTTTTACCCTTCAAAACCGAACCGAACCGAACAAACCGAACTATTTAAAATATGAAATTTATAATTTAATTGTGAAGCATTAATTCTAATTAATCTTAATACCATCAATAGTCTTTGGGTTTCTTGTGTTAGAGAAATAATGTTTGTGTTATGTTTAATTTAATTTAGTTTATAAATTCATTTACACATTCATTGTCTGTAATAATGTAGCTATATTGAATGATGATAATATGTATTTACTAGTTATTAGTAGTAATTAACTCTTTTTAGATAACTTAAAGATTTTATATTGATAAAACAATAAATATTCATCTCAACTATATCACATAGAAGTAAACAATGTATATATTCATGAACTTTTTTCGAACTACTCACAAACAAATTAAATCTATAATATATACAGTTTTATCTATCTCACATACTCATATAATTCAAGACATATTTATCTCTTCTCATCTTTATTTTATTATATGTGTCGTTGTATTGTGCTTGCATTCTTTATGTAATATGTTTGATCCCTCTAAGTATTATATCAATTTTGAATCAAGTGATAGTTTTTTGGTAAAAAACCGAAAAAACCGAAACCGAACCGAAACAAACCGAACCAATCAAACCGTGGTTCCAAGTTTTGGAGTGTAAAACAGAACCGAAACCGAACCGAACTTTTTACTTTGATTCTATATTTGGTTTTAGGTCAAAACCGAACCGCAAGAACCGAACCCACCCCTACTGCTATCAAAACTGGACTTGGTTAAAGAATGACACTTTTGCACTAGTTTGCCTCCCTGGGGACAACTCTTTAATGTTACCCTTCCAAGGTGAGAAAGCTTTTGAATGTCTTCAATCTTGGGTGGGAGCTTACCAACAACCATAGCCAAGTCTAGCAGCAAGATGGATATGATGGAGCTTAGAGAATCAAATTTGACCTGAAATGAAGTATATATTGGTATTAACAAGTAACAAGTGCTCGTTTAGTTGCAACTCGGTCACTCAAAAGACAAATCATTCAAACATGGTAGTTTTAATCCGAATTAAATCATGTGCATCCACTAAAGAAATTAAAAGGATTCAAAAGTTGCTAGAAACTCTTATAATTCACCTTTGAATCAAGAGTATCAATTTTAAAGCCCCAAAGAAAAATTTAGTAACATAGATGGCAGAGTATATGATCTACTCATAGCTAGCCTACAGTTTGTTTTTTCTTAAATCACTTTTCATTCATATTTAAAACAAAATATATCCCTGCTCATTCATCCTCTTCTGGAAGTGTAATAAATGTACTAGTACAAGTATGCAACATAATTTTAAAGGCAGATGAAATTCATTCATATACTCATATTACATACCAGTGGTTTATATATTAATTGCTCATTGGATGCATAGTTTCATAAAGACTTCACATTAATTTTGCAAAATCTCTGTAGATCTAATACACTGGCCATGTAAATATAGAAAGCCAACAACCTAGCTTTGAACCATTTGTCAATAAAGAAATGGTATTATTATGAAAAAATAATGTTGCTTAACTTTTTAGAGCTGACTTCCATTAGTTGTCCCATTTTACCAGCATCAAAATACAGTAAAAAGTGGATGTTTTTTTTAGGGAAAATGTCATCTCTATTATAGATGAAGAACTCAGTATACATAGTTTGACTGGCCGAGTTACTCGGAAACCATCAAGTCCTAAACACAGTTTATTGGATAAGTATTTTATACCGAGTAAATTTTATATTTATAAGTTATAACTGCTTTGTTTTCTTAATAATTTACAACATCATACTTGTAGTTTTTGATGGATAGGTTCTGTATGGCCAGACTCTTGCACCTCACATCATATTCATAATAAAGAAGAATGCATTGAGACCTAAAACATGCTTTTCAAACCGTGCATCATGCATTCTTCCACCAGGCTCTTACTCGGTGGTTCGTCTTCTGCTTTTTGGAGTCTGATCCTTCATATGGGCCAAAGTGTTGGTCATACTCTTTATCCCATAACTCTCGAAACGAATTAGCCTGCTCCGCCAATAACTCGAGAGTTAATTTCAACCCACTCCAACTGTGGCTCTGTTCATTGGTGTTGCTTGTGGAGGAATCAATCATTTGATATTTCTTCCAAAAGAGCCTCCTAATTATAATCATAATACGATAAATGGAATTGATATCATTGTCTGCTTTTAAAGCCCGAGCAACTTTTGGAACAAACTTTTGACAATCATGGTGCAGTTGACCAACAGGCAGCTTCTTTAAAAGCATTATTTGGTCATCTATGTGCTTCTTAGATATTGAAGGGTCCAGAGATCTTTCTTCTTCTTGAGCAGATTTCTTGTCATTCTCATGATGGTTTTCGATCTCTTCAATCTTCTTAATAATTTCGAAAGCAGCATTCTTAAATCTGGTATCCCCATACCAGACATACCCACTCTTTATTTCCCAAGCAAGAGGACGATCATCAGAATACTTGGCCCCACTTATCTCCACAGGGTCAATTTTATCTAACAGCTTATTATCTATTAGCATATTACTGATTTGAAAAGATACATCTATCAGCTCCTGTTCAGATTTACTTCTTTTGAGCGTCCTTGAGGCTCCTGACTTCTCGTATAGTAGTTCAAGCTCACGATGAAGACGATCCAACAGGCTTCTCGTCCAATAAGAGGCAGCACCAAGGGCTATACAGTTCATAAGATCTGGGTCCTGTTGGTCTATAAGTTCCAAGACACGATTCTGCTTATCCCGTAAATCTGCCTCAAATTCCTTAAGAACTTTCACCTTCGCAGAACATTCGTCACAAGAACACACCTTGGAAAAATCTGATTCTGGCGGAAATAATACATGAGCATCCACTTCCTTCTGTAATGCTTCGACATCACAATCTGTCATCCTTAAGATTACTCCTGGAGATATAAATGTGGGGATTTGGGTCAAAAATTCAATACTATTTTTTTAGATAGTAAAAAGTGGATGTGTAACATTAAATAGTTTAGAATTATGAAACAAGAATACATACATTGGATCAAACAGAATGCAAGATACATTAACGGATTAACTAAATAAGCTATATTAACTACTCATGTCCAACTTCTCTATAAACTAATCTCTATTTCAATTAAGTAAATTAATCTTCATAAATTTGAGTAAGGAGAAGTATATATCTAAAGTCTCAACATTTGAAGTATTAAAGAAGTAACCAGTACTAAGTGGTATTAGTCTATTTTAAAATATTTTCAGTTAAATATTTCTATTTCGTTATTTGATTAAATTCTAAACTTTATAACAGGTAACATTATAAAACATCGGATCCAAGATTATAAAGCTAAATACTAATGTGCTTATAAAAAATTAAAATTTAGCAAAATTTGGAAGTCCAGCTTATGTACTACACTTACTTCACTAGCCTTCTACCACAGACATCCACGAGACACTCCTAGTGATTAGTTAATTTTTCAGCTTATTAACCAAGTAGATAGTCCAACAACATGTAAGAAATAACAATTTTCAAACATCTAATTCCTAATTCACTAAACTGTGTTCACTAGGACTTCAACTTTGAGAATGGATATTATGCTACCAAACTAAACAAATGTATCTTTTAATTCTTTCTAGGAGCAGTTAGTGACTTTACTTAGTTAGTGTCAAAAAATTTTAATTGAAGTATGCAGTGTTGTCAAAAGCGCTCGCTTCTGCGCTTAAGCGCACAAGGCGCAGCGAGCTACACCCCTTGCGCCTGAGAAAGGTAGAAGCGCACAACCCTGGGCAAGGCGCAGCCTAAGTGCTAGAAGCGCATGAAGCGCGGAAGCGCTATAGGCGCGCGCCTGCGTCGCCTGAGACGGAAAAGGCTGACAGCCCTTTTTTGGTTTAAAACTTTGAAAAACAATTAGCCCATATCCTTAATAGTCCTCGGCCCATGAAAACAATAGGGTAAAGAAAGTTAAACCTACGTAAAACTAAGACTGTAAGTACGTAAAAACGTAAACTTGCGCAGCACACTACAAAGCTTAATCGCTAGCCATCCTCTTCACTCTCGCTTTCCTCACTTGACACTCAAACTGCACATAAGTATCATAGTACTCTGCTTTGTGATTTTTTAGTATATTAGTATGCATATAATACTCATAGTATTCTACTTTTTTATTCTTTAGTATATTACTATGTACTCCCTCCGTCCCGAAAAGGTTGGCCAAAGTTGGCTTTCACGTGGATTAATAAGGTTGGCCAAGGTTGGTTGAAATTTGTGTAGAGGAGAGAGAATTAATTTTAGCCACATATTCCTTACTTTAAATGGAAATGACAAATCTTTTTGGGACATCCAAAAAAGGAAATTTGACCAACCTTTTCGGGACGGACGGAGGGAGTATATAATACTCATACTCTCATAGTACTCTCTTTGTAATATACATATATAGTACTCTACATTGTATATAATACTAATATACATACTAAAGATATATGTTCTTATATGTTCTTAACTTGAAATATATTACTTTAATATATGTAGTTATGTACTAAAGATATATGTTCTTAACTTTAAATATATTAAAGTTATATGTACCTAATGTACTAAAGATATATGTTCTTAACTTTAAATATATTAAAGTCATATGTACTAAAGATGTATGTTCTCAACTTTATACATCAAACTGATTCCATATAGCAACTTTATGTATCAATTAACCAACTGATTCCATTATATATGTAGTAAAGATATATATCTTAACTTTATATGTACTAAAGATATATGTTTTTTTAATATATGTTTATTTATGGTTTCCCGTGTATTAACTAATTCCAGCTTTGATCTTTTAGTTTTAGTTTTAGTATTAAAGCCATGAATTCTAAATTTGGACTTCTATTTTTGTGAATCATGACTTTATTTTGGTGAATCCTAGCTTTTTTTATGCATTTGGTTCAATATGATGTTACATACATCATATTTGGTAATTATAGAATAGTATATGTGACTTTATATAAGTAATGCGCTTCACCCGAGTCAGGCGAGCGCTTTTTTGCGCTTTGCGCCTCAGGCGCTAGAAGACTCCTAGCGCTTCAGGTGCGCCTTACGACTTTGACAACCTTGGAAGTATGTTCTTTCACAGATCACATAAGAATCTTCTCCAAAAAAGTTTTGATTGAAAAGAAATATCACAGATTATGTTATAAACAAATTCAATTCAAATAAAAAACTAGTCAAGAAACAAAAAACATACTACCTAAATATCAATCTTGCAACTAACTCTTCAAGTATGTAATGGTTAAGTTATCTTGAAAACTAACAAAACTTGAAAAACTATCAGTTTTTCATACGAAAAATGTTGCCAAGAACACAATAGCATCTTCGACCAAATCATGAAAAGAGCAAAAGAAAAATACCTGTTTGTCTAGTTCAGAGCTTTCTTCGAGCACCTCTTGTGCAGAATTAACATATGGTTAGACCTATTGTTGTGCTCAGTCTTCTAGAATCTAGATTTAGCAATGGAAGATTACTACAGAAACCTATTAAAATGTAGAGCAAAAGCAAGGCTTCAGTAAAGAAGATAAACAAAGAAAGAGACTTTGATATACGACCTTTGATTTTTTTTAAGCAACTCTAAAACACCAATCCACAAATGATTAAAGAGAATCACAATCCACAAGAGACGACCCCAAATAGCATATAATTCTAAGAAAGCACCAGGAAAATTAAGAAATGAAAAAAAATCAGAGATAAACAAAGCAGAGTTCGAACGAGAAGTTTTAAGGGCATAATGTTGAGAAGTAAATCCAAAAATAAAGCATAAATGATAGAAAAGAATAATATATGATCCATACCTTACCTGGCTTAGTGGAAAAGGGGAAGATGCAGATGAATTTTGAGGTCGAACAGGAAGTTTTAAGGGCATACTGTTGATAAGTTAATCTGCAAATAAAGCTTATATGAATGATAGAATAGAAGATACGATTCATACCTTGCCCGGATTAGTGGAAAAGGGGCAGATGCAGATGAATCACGAGATCAAGAAGAAAATATGGATACCGAAACCGTGAAAACCCTAGAACAACTTATGGACTATATTGGAAGACTAGAATATTAGGGTATTTACCATTTTCCTAAACACGTTCATACGAAGTACTTCGGAGTAGGGTGGTGCTCCACGCGCCTCCAAAATTTCTATGCGCACCAATTTTTTATCAAATCTGATAAAAAATTTATCAGATTTTTTATCAAATCTGATAAATTTCTAGCAGTTATGCTACTTCGAATAGAATAGGCGCAGTGGCGCACCAACTATGTACGTTAGTAGGTACGTGATTAACCAAGCGTATCCTCATTTTTAATTTTAATTGATGGGCCTTATTACTTTTTAAAATAAAAATAAGTTATAACCAAGCATATGGGAATTCTCGTAGGATGAGAGCCGCAAATAAGTTGCTGCCATGTGGCTTTTTTTCTTATTTCTTTTATAACATGTTACGGAGCTTTTCCAATTTTGCTCCTATTTTTATAAAAACTATATCAAATTACATGATTTTTATGATCTTTCACATGACATCAATATCATATATGTAAAAGTTAAAAAACATTGGTCAGATTTATTGAACGGCGAATCAATGTATATTTACTACTTACGGAGTAGTATTTTTTAAATTTAGTCTAGTCTGATCTAATTTGTTTGAATTTGTCTGGATTGAAACCAGTTCAAATTAAAACATTCTACATATCATTCGCATCCTAAATCTAGTCTTGTAACATATATGGATACACATGACGGACACCCCCGAGGTTGATCTTTGCAACGTTATACCAAGTTATTTTAGTGCATCTTGATCTTCACGAACCAGTCACTTGTTTGCCCATGATATCTCCTCCTGGTAGTAGTATTCCGAAGACAATTTTTTGCATTGCTCGGCTTTAATATCAACATCACTACATAACTGTAAGAAAACAATATTCTATAGTTCCATTTTGATTTCACATTACCATATGATATGCATAAAATGACTACGTATGTTGACGCACAGATTTGGCTTGACGACAATGCTTCGTTGCCACAAGTGATTACAACATGTTCTTACTATCAAGACCATATATGTTACATGACTAGATTTAGGATGCGAATGATATGTGAAATGTTTTTATTTGAACTAATTTGATCCAGACAGATTCAAACAAATTAGATCAGATCGGACTAGACTAGATGAAAAAAATACTACTACATACATACTCCGGAGTATGTAATTGAAAGATCATAAAAAAATATGTAATTTTTTAAAATACGGAGTATTTTTATATGTAAAAAACTATATCCGGAGTAGTAAATACGGAGTATACATTAATTGGCCGTTCAATAAACATGACCAATGTTTTTATTGGTGTCATATGAAAGATCATAAAAAATTATTTAATTTGATATAGTTTTTATAAAAATAGGAGCAAAATTGGAAAAATTATAACATTTTATAAAAAAAGAAAAATTGGCCACATGGCACCAACTTATTGGAGGGAGACTAAATGTCCAAATTGCTATTCGCTCATCCTACGAGAATTCCATATTATTATACTCCGTAACTTATTTTTTTTTAAAGAAGCAAAAAGGCCCATTAAAATAAAAATCAAGAGATGCTTGGTATTTTGTTAATCACGTAGGGGGTGCGCCTAGCGCATTCGGTGTGGCGTGAGCAATTGACCAAGGACAAATTTGTCCAGAGTGGGTGCGTGGAGCAATTTTGGAGGCGTGCGGAGCAGAGACGTCGGAGTATAATGTTGTGTTTTTACTTTTTAGTTGAACATTTTTCATTTAGCTTTTTTTACTTTTTCTTCGTTATGGTTTTTTCTGGCGCATGAAACTGATTTTGGGAATTTAATGAAAAAATGGCGGAAATTTTCAATTTCAAAATATTGGGTTGCCGCTTATTTTTGTAATTTGGATACATACAAGCGTTACATTTAATTTAAACAAATGTAACACTTTTTAAACTAAGGTAACAATGTTTTTGTTGATATAAAAGTGTTACATTATAAAAGGACTAATGTAACAAATACTAAACAAATGTAACGACTCGGTTCAAAGTATTACAATACATCAATTTTTTGTAACACTTTTGAACAAATGTTACAATTTTATTGTTACATTAGACCCGAAAATGTAGTAGTGCGTTTACTTGTGGAGTTGTGTTTGTGTTTTTATTTATTTATTCCGTGTTGTTTATAGGGAGTATTATTTAATTTACTCATTTTTGCATTGCAGAGTATTTCTTCATTTAGTATTGGATAGTACTTGAATTGAGTCCTTTATCTTTTTTTATTAATTGCATTTATTTGGCTTTTTTCCTTCTTACATGTTCCAATTTGACTACATTTTATATATTATTCTATAAAAAGATTAAACTACAACAAACTTATTGGATAGTACTTGAGTCCTATATAAAGGAAAGTGAAAGACGTAGACGGAGGGATGAATGCGATCAAGACGGCGGCTACGGCCGCTGAAACGGCGGTTCCACCACCGCCTGCTTGGGGAGGGAGATCGTTTGCTGATGTTGTTGCTGATTATAAGATGCTTCCGGCCCGTGCTAAGAACGCATATCTCATGGACCTTTTCGGAATTCCGTCTCTTCGACTTATAAATTAGCTCTTTTTTCATGTCTCCTTTGTTATCAATGGGTCAGGTCTTGCCTCATTGTGTGTTATTTTATTCTACTCACAATCCGTTTTTATTATCATTTATGTAGATCTGTCTGTTGGGAAGGTATGCCTTCTCGGAGAGGTTTTGGCCTAGTCCCCCTTTCCTTTTTGTACTCTCTTTATTTTTAATAAAACCTGGCAAATGTTCCCCGGCATTTGCCCCACTGATTTTGGTGGTTTACCTTCCGGGAAAAAAAAAAGTACTTGAGTCCTATATCTCTTTTTTAGTAATAGCATTAGTTTGGCTTTCTTACTGCTTGTTTATGTTACAATTTGGCTAAATTTTATATATACTATTGTATAAAAAGATTAAACTACAAATTATAAGATCTTATAAACGTTTCTTGTGACTCTTTTCTCAATGCAAGTTTAATTTGAGGTCGGAAGAGTAGTGGGTTACACAATCCTGAAGGACCATTTGGTTATAATAAAAAAATAGTTCATTGTTATCTATTTACACTTTAATCATATAATCCACGTTTGAAAACTCAACCATAAACACTAAAACAAGCATGTTGAAAATTCTGTTTCATGATCGAATACTCAAACTAGTATAGAGAGACGCTTGGCTTCTTCTGAGATCGACTTGCCAGAAGATTAATGAAACCAAGTGCTTAGATTTTTTTTAATTTATTGATTAATTGCTAATGAAGCGCAGCGATTTAATTATAGTGTGTTATATTTTTAAGACACCAACATTTATAATAATAATAAAAGTTAAGTAGGGGTATATATATAAAGATCCGCTTAGAATTTCCCTTGTGACCTTAACCAAAAGAAAAGTACCGGGAGGGTCACTCACTAAGAGTATGTTTGGGAGTTTGAAGGGAAGGAGAGTAAATGTTTTGAAGATTTGTCAGTAATGATGATCATGTTCGTATTACTATTCCTGAATATCTATTGATACGCACAAATGGAGATCATATAGCTGTGAATGTTGAAAGCATATTTCCGGGATATGTTGAATCTGCAGGTGATATGAGTTGTCTGCGCGAACTATATGACGACTCTTAATGTTGGTGAAGTTTCAAGAACATATCTTAGTTCTGACAGTGTTTCTAAGGTATATTCTACGACCGATCTAATAGCGGAACTGCACACCTGAATTGTTGAATAATATAGTATAAAATTGTCTGGTGTACTGAATAATGAGTTAACGTTAAAGGTAGGGACCCCGGTGATGCTTCTGCGAAATATTGATCATTCAATGAGGTTGTGTAACGGGACACGTCTTATTTTAATGAGGCTCGGTGATCATGTTTTGGAGGGGGAAATTTTAACTGGTGTGAGTGTTGGACAAAAGGTATTAATTCCTAGATTGTCCTTGATGCTATTTGATGCCAGCTTGCTTTTCAAATTTCATAGGCGACAATATCATGTTATAACTTCATATGTTATCACTATAAATAAAAGTTAATCTTTGTCCCGTGTTGGGTTGCTATTGAAAAACCCAGTATTTACCCACGGACAATTGTATGTTGCAGTATCAAGGGTCACCAATCGTTGTGGTTTGAAAATTCTAATTATTGATGAAGATGAAGGAACCACTGACAAGATTCAGAATATTGTATTCAAAGAAGTGTTCAACAATGTTTATGTTTACATTAAATGCATATTTACAATGTTATGGTTTCAACGTATTTGTTGGATTTTTTTATCTTTTAAGTAATGCTTAGCACTATCATTTTGACCATAATATTATAGGTGTGTTTCGTTTAATGTTTTGACGTATATTAGTATTATATGAATATAGATGATATCATCAATTGATAGTGTGATTTGAATCACTAAGCACCACATAAATTGAAAGAAAAATTTTCAAACCGTGCATCGCACAGGTGAGTTTACTAGTATATATAAAGATCCGCTTAGAATTTCCCTTGTGACCTTAACCAAAAGAAAAGTACCGGGAGGGTCACTCACTAAGAGTATGTTTGGGAGTTTGAAGGGAAGGAGAGTAAATGTTTTGAAGATTTGTCATTAAAAGGGAAGGGGGAGGCTAGGGAGGAAACCCTTCTTGTTTGGGAGAAGAGAGGAAATCCTTCTTGTATGGGAGTAACAGATTTGAAAATATAGAAATTATGGATGAGTTATGATTAAATTCAAATGGTTGGATTTATATTTACTTAAGATTGAGTTAAAGTTATCATTTAATTAATTTTCATTCAAAACCCTCAATTTGGGGGAAATTGAAAACTGGTCACATTGAAGAGTTTGAGGGGTTTTAAAAGCTCTCCAAAACCATCGCTTCCATATTTTTAAACTCCCAAATATAAAAAGAAGGGTCATAACCATTGTCAACCTTTCCCTCCCTTCCAAAACCTAATTCTCAAACATACTCTAAGGGAACACATACACTTTTGGCCTCTATTATCACCCAAAGGTGTATCAC